ACTGAAGGCGTCCCCCCGTCTCCCTGCTCTGCCTGCACCGCCATGGCTCCCTGATCTGCCTGCACCGCCATGGCTGCCCGATCTGCTTGCACCGCCATGGCTGTCCGATCTGCCTGCACCGCCATGGCTCCCCGTTCTGCCTGTTGTAATGTGGGGTTTGGTGTTTGGGTTTTGTTTCATGTTCATGTTTTCATGTATTTTATTTTGTAATTGTTTCATGCTGTTTGTGTCATGCTTCCCTTGCCCTCATGTCTTCATGCTATTGGTTCCTCTGTTCATTGTGTCATGTTCTGATTGGTTGTCTTAGTCATGTGTCTTGTTTCCCATTGGTTTGTTCATGTCATGTGACCCTCCTTGTCTGCTATAACTAGCCATCATGTTCCCATTGTGCCCTTGTCGTGTATTTGAAGTTGTAACCCGCTGTTGGTGAGTCTAGTCTGTTTGTGCCTCGTCAAGTCTCTTCATGCCTAGTTAAGTCTGTTCATGCCTCGTCAAGTCAAGTCTGTGTATCTTGTTTGGATTATGTTTGGATTTTGGATTTCACCTTGTTTGAATAAAACTGCACTTGGGTTCTCACTACGCTCGCCTTCAGTGGACTGAATCATTACAAACACTTACTGTAGTGCATAATTTGTTAACTAATTTGGATGTTTGCATCATATAATCAGCTCCATATATATGGCTTTTCCGATGAAGTAAACTTGCTCGGTAGCTCACCTAGGAGAGCACTGCACATGCATTATGGAGTCCATAAATCACAAGTCACGACTCTCAATAACCGAGATCAAAGACTAGTCAAAGCAAGATAAAATGCTGTGGTTGCTTCAGCAAATATGTTTTTATCTCACGTTTGCTTTTGTTAACACTATCACTTAGTGTTTAGTGTAGCTGGTAGAAATGCGATAAAGCTTTAACTTCTTAGCGGATTCGAACTGCTGCGATATGTATGTATGATATGTATAAAACTCAATGTAATAAAACATTTAACATTCATCTGTTTCTGATAAACTCTATACACTTTTAGCACCACTCACTGGACATCTAAACGTGTTGCAAAACGCACAAGAAGCAAAGTCGTATCAATTTGCAGAAATGACGCTACAGCCATGTTTTTCCAGTGAGTCAGGGTTGAAGAAATGAGATGCACTTCCTTGGCTCTAATAATGCCTGAACACCTTAGCATAGCTTCAAGGTTGATGAAGTCTAAATTGTTTTCACCCTTGCAATGTATTAAACACGTGGTGTATAATTGTGACTTTATTGTATTACACCGTTGAGACTTTATTTCTCATATTAGCAAACAAGTTTTATTAGCCCCTCGGCATGTCACATTTACCAAATATAAGATTGGGGTTATTAGATGCTGAATGAGTCATTCTGATATAAAATCTAAATTATGAGAAGTTTTTGTAGTGATTGCAGAATGTGAAGACACCATCTTATTTTCTTATTTGTTTACTCCAAAGAGGCTGATGCCCAGGGATCTGGAAGCACCGTAATTGCTCCTCGATGTGTTAGCATGGTAAAACACCACGTACTGTCCAAATAACAATAATCAAGGACCCTTTTAAGATCACAATTGCACTGTACAAATCAGGTGCCTGCAACTATAAAACAAAAAGTCTAAAGAAAAGAGCGCTGTTGCATTCAGCTAAAAGCATCAAAATTATATGTTCAGACGAGAACCTTAAACACAATGGCTGTGCCTGAATCATCGACACTCAAGAGGAGAGCTTGTAGTCTTTAAAAGGTCTTGAAACGCCTCTCTGATGTCTCTGTTGAATTACTTGTGGTTATGCGAGTGTAATTTGTATGATAAATGGAGTAAATCTCGAAGGCTCTTGAAGAGAAATATCAAAGAGCGTGGACTGCTCCTTATTGAGCTGTAGCAGGCGTGAGTGCCGCTCGTAATCGTGCCGTTTTTGACTGTCCGACAGGGTCGAGGTGGGAAAGGCAGCATCTATGTGTGGGCCTCCGGAGACGGTGGTAGCTATGACGACTGTAACTGCGACGGATACGCCTCCAGCATGTGGACCATCTCTATTAACTCGGCCATCAATGACGGACGCACCGCGCTCTACGATGAAAGCTGCTCCTCCACCCTCGCCTCCACCTTCAGCAACGGCCGTAAACGAAACCCTGAAGCAGGCGTGGTGAGTGTGTATGTGTGTATCGGTGTTTCCTACAGATTCTGTTTGTTTGTGGGGGGCACCGACTCAGTCCTTTAAAATAAAATTACTTGCAAAACACAAACAAAGCCATTTTCCACCCCAAATTATGTTTTAATGATTACTATTTTTTAAAGCACAATGTTGTATATACATAATTTTTATTATAGCATTTATTACAACATTATTACAATGGTATTACCATATTATTATTATTATTATTATTAAATGTATTTTATTTAATTATAATGACCTTTATACAACATTATTACAACATCAGCATTTATTCTTTTATTCTTATTATTTTATTAGACATTATTATTTTAATATTATTTTTTTATCCACTTTTGTATTTTATATAATCTTCTTATATTTTACTCTTCTTATTTTTATCACAAAAAGAAATGATAAGGATGTTGTGAAAGGCAATCATCTGTGGGATATATCTTTCTGAGGTGAAATCAGGTTCAGGACGGTTCCAGTTGTGTAATATTGAGTCTGGAAATTTTTACAGCAATATTCAATTTGGTGTGCCAAAGTCATACGTGCTTTAAAACATGCTTTTGAAACACAATCCCTTTTTCCACAGTGTGATAATATAGAGTATGACAGTGATAAAATGACGAGGAGTTAATCGTTTCATCCATTTTGTGTCTGAACAATGACTCAGATGGAGTCGGAGGGATGCATTGAGCTAGGAACTTAATCAGAGTGTATCTCCAGACTCAAAGAAAGCATCTGAGATGAAGACTGTGGTTAGTCTGTCAGAGGAAAGGCAGGAATTGCCTTGTGTCAGTCCTGATTCTCTCAGGGTGATCAGGGCTGCTTCGGTTTGGTGTCATGAGATGCCAGTTTATCGCTTTTCTCTGATTCAGCACTGAACAGTAGAAATACACAAGATTTATTAACCAATATTTTTCACAATGATATTCATTCAAATATATTCACACAAATTAGGCCTACATCAAATAAAACAAAGCACTAAATAATTAATTTTTTGGCTTTCATCTCATTGCTTTTAGTGAGGTTTGCTTACATCAGCCAAAATTGGTCACAAGTACAAACGTCCATCTCTGGAGGGTAAATATGGATGTTTCTTTCATCTCCTGCCTTTGATAGATCATGAAATGCCGGGCAACTCCAAAGTCTACATTACCTCAAAGTGTTGTGACGAACAAAGCTTTGGGATTTTGTAGGGTTTTCCTCACTGCGCAACCGAACCAAGTTCTGTTAATGAAAATGTACGAATTGACGTCCATTCCACCGATGAGCTGGAATGTGAATGGGCCACAAACAGGACAGGAAGGGAAATTTACAGAATTGCGAACAATTGAACAAATTCAACACAGTCACACAACAGAGGAATTTCATTGGTCCAACACAACAACAAAATGAGCAAGAACAAATCATTTTTATTTAGCTGTTTCCACCTTGTACACGTAAAAAAACTCAGAAATTACTAGTTAATTTAACAATTACAAATATAAAGCAAGAAGCACATTGAATTAAATGAAAAAAAATGAAGGTAGCAAACTGAAAAATGTGTGTTTTTAAATTGTATTTACTATTTTGACAAATCACTTTTTACAGTGTATGGTTGCTTCATGTTGGTTTGACTCCGTGATGTTATTCCACTATAGTCAAAAAAGATTGATTTATTAGAATTAAATACATTTTGAGATTGCTCACAAATTTCTATATATTTCATACAATGATATAATGCAGTGGTCGCCAACCCGTCGATCGCGATCGAGTGGTAGATCTTTATCACTGTCCCAGTAGATCCCGAAAAAAACTGTAAAATAAGTACAAAAATGCATTATATTTATGGGGTTATATTAATGTATCACACAAGGGAACTGTCTTGAGAAAAGTTTCGATGGCAATGGCATTTTCTCCGTATAAAGCGCAACTCTGCTTTGTTTAAAGCGGTAAACAAGGAAACGCTATATTGCAGTCGGTTCATAAGCAGTGTTGCCAAGTCTTGTAAATCCTGAAATTAATCTAAATCAAAACAAAAACAACTGCCCGTGCAGATCGTGATTAAAATGCAGTGGTTGCCTCTAATTTAAAAAGGCTAGATATTTTTGTTCAAAGCCAGTTTGTTTGTTATAAAGCAAATAGCCAATAAATAAATTTGCTTAAAAATCAGTATCAGAATCCAATTTGCTAGTTAAAAAAAAAGAAAGAAAGAAAGAAAGAAAGAAAGAAAAGAAAATCTGAATTCTGAATCAGCTATGATCGGCGCATCACTAATTAAAATACTAAGTAAAAGGCCTCAAATTTGAAGTACAATCTGGGATGTCTTTTTCTATCAATTCTTCAATAGGTAGATCTTGTCTTTCATAAAGGCCGAGGTCAGGGATCTTGGGCCTAAAAAGGTTGGTGACCACTGATCTAATGTTTTTGGAAATACCCCATATGCTGTGTGTATGATAAAATGATCATGGACAATTTGTAAAATGAAATTATTATTAAATTTAATTGAACTTTCTTAGAACAGCAACTGATCTCTTTGAATTTCATACATTCTTACAGTTTAAATTTAACCCGGAATTCTGCATTCTGTTTGCTTCCTCTGAAGTCAGTTCAAAACAGAATTAGAATTTTAAAGGCATTTTTCACCTGCTGTTTGCTGAAGTGTAATCAGGATATCATTGGCACTAATGTGTAATTAAGGCTTTCTCTTTTTCTGCATCTGTCTCCAGGCCACCACGGATCTGTATGGAAACTGCACACTGCGTCATTCGGGCACATCTGCTGCCGCCCCTGAGGCCGCTGGCGTGTTTGCCCTGGCGTTGGAGGCCAAGTATGTACACTTTTGTTTTCCAGCGCTCAGCTCTGATGAGTAGTGAGCCTCTATCAAAGATTTATGAAACAATAAGGCAGCGTTGCTGGCAGACGGCAGCTGAGATCATAGATTACTGCAGACGAGGGTTGTGTCAGAGCGCAGCACCGCAAGCACAGCTCCCGCTCGAAAACCTCCCTCATGTATGATTGATAGCCGATTTAACGATTTAACATGGAAACGGTGCTAATGCCAGAGTCGAAGCTGCGTTCCCGGTGATTAGAGAGTTGAATGATGATGTTACAAATAAACACGCTGTTTCACGCTCCTTTACTTATAAGTCTTACTACTTGATTTGAAAACTTATATTCCACCCAAAGTCGTTTCATTTTGCATCTTTATTCCTTAATAAGCAGCTTCTGTTGTAACATTCAGCCATCCATTCATTCTCCAAACTTCCTGAACAGATGGCCAGTCTATCACAGTCAGAAGTTCAGTAAATAAGTACCTGGACAGAAAAAGTATAGCTGGAGCAGCATGATAAATGTGTGAATCAGGGCTGAGATTGTGCTCCGGCAGCAGCAGCGTTACTCTGCTGGAGGAAAGGAGGGTATCAATGTTCGTTTCTGAGACCCTCGGGTGAGACGCTTCATATCCACATACATTCAGCCATTGATGAGGAATCAAATTGGCGAGTATGTTGCTGATCACCTCGTGAAAAGGAAATTGAAAGTCGCTTTTGATTCAAGCCAACAATTACCCCATGCTTCTCTGAATGCCAGAAAACAAATCATATTTGGCTGCATCTGGCACTTTAGACTCATTAGAAGAGTGTGAAGCTCACAGTGGTGGACGAAGTACACAAATCAAGTACTTGAGTAAAAGTACAGATCTGTATAATAAAATATTACTCCAGTAAAAGTAAAGTTATTTTAATGTTTTTTGACCTAAAACATAGAGACTCTGATGTTAATGTGTCTGCATTGAAGCATTTCAGTGAGCTTAAACAGATCACCCTTTACAGCAGATTTAGTTCACAAACAACTGACAGCTTTGACCTAAATATGATTTTCAGTTACAATAATTAATCCTAAAATTCGACATAGTAACTTACTTTTAGCAGCATCAGTCGCGTGCATGCGCTCACAAGATCTCCCGGTTCTTACTTGTGAATTCAGTTCACTGGAGACTCGCACTAAACGGTTAATTTGAATCAGTGAGTTGTCGACTCGAGAACAGCTACAATCGGATCATTCCAATTCGTGAATGAATCGTTTGGTGCGATTTGCGAACCGATTTAAAAGGTTAATTGAAAAGAATCAGTTCGTTCTTGAATCAGACACCGCTTCTGTGTGTCAGAGCACGTGATATATTATAAGGAGTAACGATAAGTTTTATGAAATGTAGTGAAGTAAAAAGTACGATCTTATGCTTTGGAATGTAGTGAAGTAAAAGTAAAAGTTACTAAAAATAAAACTACTCCAGTAAAGTACAGATACTTGAAAAATGTACTTAAGTACAGTAACGAAGTAAATCTACTCCGTTCCTGTCCACCACTGGAAGCTCAAGACTCGATATTTCATGTCAAGGGGATCCACACTGACTGAAATAAACTACAAAGAGCTATGACTAGTGCTGTCAATCGATTAAAAAAAAAATCGAATTAATCGCACAATTTTTCCTGAAATTAATTGTGATTAATCCCACCTAACATTAAAGTTTTTAAATATATTTTTATATTGAATTCATTTCACATTCAATCCCCAAATTAATGTAGATGCAACACAAAGACAGTATGTTTTTAATATTTGTTTAATGGAATATTTTTTATGACTGAATGTGAGTATCTCTGATATCAATACTATTGATGTTTCTAGGAAATTTTTCCTAATATGTAACCATTGACTATAGCCATTCAACATTACAGTATAATTGAGAGCTGTCAATTTTAACAATGATTAGACTTTAAAAAAATAACAATCTTCACATAATCCCATTATAACAAATGTCATATTTATCTGTGCCCTTCAGCAAGTAGGAAATATACAGAAATGGAATAAAGTTATCAAACACTAAATTCTAAATTAAATATAGATGAATCCTTAAATTTACAAAAATTATTGATTTCCTCTTTTTTACTTTTGTTGAAAAGAGAACAGACATCACAGCAGCCGGTTATTAGATTATTTGGCTGCTATTACTTTTAGAGCTGCCGCTGCTGAACGTGACGCAGGTTTGACTCGCACCTGTCGCTGAGGCAAAAAGTCTCTTGTTTGATGTGCTCATAAAGATGTTCTGCATCTAAATAAATGCAATTCTTATCAAGAAAAAAAAACAAAAAAACAAGCAGCAGTTGTGAGTAGGGTGGCCAATGCTAGCTCCATCCCTGCGTTAAAATATTTTAATGCTGTTAAACTAGAAAAACGAATTGCCTGCATTAACACGCAAATTTTGACATCACTAGCTATGACTATTTCTTTTAAAGGGGTCATATTGTATTGTTTTCTTCTTATTATTACTTCATTATAAAATGTACCACATAAACACACACACCAACATTAGCACCTTGTTGTAAATAATCTTGCCATGTGGTTTCCTAACAAGCCTATGCAGGGATGCAGTTTTCTGAAGCCAGGAGTAGTGCATTGATTGGCAAAATTCTCTGAGTTTTATTGATTTTTATTGTTATTTAAATACAAGCATGACAGCAAATGCAAGTCACAGAACTTTCCCTACACACTCTCCATTATATTATCAGTTTTATAAATTCATATAAGTTTGAACCTAAAATGTTGATGAAAAGTCCGTGTACATGTTATGCATCACTACCAAATCAAAACACCCAAATGTAATACCAGTTTCAAGTCAAAGTGACCATAAGATCAAACAAAAGAAAATACTTTTTAACTCAAGGCAAAATGCAAAATGCAAAAAAAAAAAGGTAAATCCTAATTAATAATAATAATAATAATAATAATTCTTTACATTTTTATAGTGCTTTTCTGGGTACTCAAGGCGCTTAAATTAGATACAAGCCCTAAATGAGCAACACACAGACTGAGATTAAGAACAGTTTACAAGTACAAATGAAGAAGGACAGTCACACAGTCAGAAGAGCATGATCTCGAGGTGGAGGAACGGACAGTGATTTCAACAGCAACCGTGTTCATTACACTTGATTGAGAAAGCTTTGTAAGGAGCGACTGGTGGGGAAAAGGCCATTTTGCCACATCATTTCTGCGTCCGTTCACACATTTCAGTAGGATGTTACGGTGTCAGGACTGGTGTTAATAACTGTTGACATGGCCTTCCCTGTGTAAAGTCTTTGTGTTTGCTCAGTACTAAATAATGATGTAGGTGGCCAGTGAGCAGGTCTCTTTGTTCAGCCAAATGTAAATACAAATTGTAAATGGCAGCTTATTTGCATGTGTTTGTATATTTCAGCAGTACTCAGAGGAGTGTAGTGCAGTATGGCTCAGGGCTGGACTGGAACAAAAAATCAGCCCTGGCATTTTCGGTCCAAGCGGCCCACTATGATCAGAACCGACTGCCGTTTTTTGTTTTTTTTTCTTTAACCAAAAGAGAAGAAAGAATGAAAGAGTAAATGAACAAGATTTGCAGCCATTTGAAATTAGAGGCCACCACTGCATTTTAATCACAATCCAATCAAAGATGCATGAGTAGTTACTTTTTATTTAAATTATATTGTATCATTTCAAAATTGTCAAAGTATGCTAAAAATGCCAATTCATCCTCTGCCAGTAGGTGGCATTTATGCAACAGTCACAATACAGCGTTTCCTTGGTTATCGCTGTAAACAAAGCAGAGGTACGCTTATTAACACTACATTAATAAGCATTATATGGAGGTGAGATGAAAAGAAAATGCCATCAAAACTTTTCTGACGACAGTCAGTTCCCTTCAGAGATACGTTCATATTATCCCACCCCCAGTATAGTATTTAGGGTTTTCTTTGAATATTTCAAGCATCGTGAACAGTGAGCTTGCTGTGCTTTCTCTGCTAGCGTGTCTATTCTCGTGTCCTGCCTCTGGCCTGTTTATAGACTTTGCAATACTTCCCAATATTTCCAGGGTTGAAGCAATACAATGCAACCCAATGGGCAGCTGTCCCTACATGATTGCCAGATTACCAGTCCAGCCCTGATATGGCTGGGAGTTTAAAGTACACTGTAAGTACACAGTTACATACCAACGAAATAATCCATTACCACACAGAAATCACTTAACCCAACAACTAGAAGAAAACTGCAACAATAACACAACATTAAGTTACATTAAGTCCATCGATGCATGGCTCATGTTTTTAATATCAAAATGTCATAGCTGGATCTTCCAGTGAAATGACAGACTTCTCTTTAATGACGCAAACAGAACTTCTCCAATCATTTAGTGCTCTTAAACTCCGCCTCTGTTTTTGAGAGCCACACCCACATCTCAACATCCAATCAACAACCGATGCATAGAATCAAGTCCTCACCTTGCATTTTTTTCTTTTTTGATCATCCGTTACTCTCAGACTATACGAAAGAAAAGAGCTGTCGCTGCTTCCGCAGCTTGATCCGGCTTTTCTCGCTCTTCGTTTTAGTTGTCTTGATTTGACTTGAGACTTCTGAGCTTCTGTCCATGTATCAGAGTTCACCATAAAAGCAATACTGAAGACCTCCAAGCCATTTTCCTACAATCGCTAAGGGTTCCAGTATTCCAGAGAGCTGTGTATTAATAAAATAGAAACCTCATGCCTCATATATGAGTTTAGTCTTACTGTCTTATCTCTTGAATCAATGGTCCCAGTATATAGTCTGCATCCACTTCCCCTAGCGCTCTGTGCAAATTGCTCTTGAGAAACCATATGCAACTGTAAGGGTTTTGTTCTTGCATTGCTATGTGCTCTTTGCAGGAAGTCATTCACTCAATAGAGCACATTTTATATTGAATGGATATGATAACTATTAGAATTGGGAGCTTGAAGGAGGCTTGAATGATTCAAGTTTATGACAAACAGCAGTCATGCTAGTGATTTTCTTTCCTAGGCTTGACTTTATTTCCTTCATTGTGTTTGTCTGCAGTCCGAACCTGACGTGGAGGGACCTGCAGCACCTGACGGTCCTCACCTCTAAGAGGAACAAGCTGCATGACGAGGTGCACCAGTGGAGGAGGAATGGTGTGGGCCTGGAGTTCAACCATCTGTTCGGATACGGCGTGCTGGATGCCGGAGGAATGGTCAAACTGGCCCGGGAGTGGAAGACCGTCCCGGAACGATTCCACTGTGTGGCTGGATCCGTGCAGGAGATACAGTGAGTACAGAAAACACTTCAGAAAAACAACCACTGCAACTGTACAGAAACGCTGCTGCAACCATTTCACTGCAGCAGTCCGACAGTAATATTTTTGTATGAACAGGATGTTGGAGACAAATGTGGAGTGTGACTTAATGGATCGTTAGATCCATCAGAAATTGACTCACTTTTGCATTCGCTTAAGTGGCCAACGCAACTTCCAGCGCAGTGTATAGAAATTGTAAGAATATTAAGCACAAAATTAAATCTTGAGGAAGTTTTACACAACAGGACAAAGCGATATGATCCACTTTCACATTAAAGGTATTTAAAGCTTCTGGAACTACTAAAAGTTTATGGTTTAAATATAATATGCTAAAATGTTAAGTTTATTGTGGCTAATGAAGTATACAATGTATTATATTTTTTGACCAACAGTTACATGACAGGAAGAGTTTTTTGAGATTTTTAGCAGAAGCACAAATGCAGTCGGTGTTCATAGAGTCAATTGACTGGATTGTGAGCAGTGCATATTTTTACTAGAATGAAGTCAAATGGTTGAAAAATGAAAGGTACTTGTGACATCAACTGAAAAGAAAAACCATTGCAAGGTCACAAAGTCAGAGCAAGTAATTAGTGATCTGCTATTTAAGCTTCTTATTATTAAGTTGGCTTGAGAAAGCTGTCTATCTATCTATCTATCTATCTATCTATCTATCTATCTATCTATCTGTCTGTCTGTCTGTCTGTCTGTCCTAGCGACATGCTAATCATGTTAGAAACATATGCTGTGTTCACGCCATATCGTAATTACCGTAATTTCGAGACAGAACCTGCGGTGGTCAGGTGGTACAGCTGTCACGTGGACGGTTTTTACAAGTTGGAATCTCGTAATTATGGGCATTCTGTTATGGCGTGAACACACCTATATTAACAACATGCTTGTAGCATGCTAGCAAACATGCTAATCATGCTAGAAACAGGCTACCGACATGCTAGTAACTTGCTAATCATGCTAGCATCATGCTAGTAGCATGCTAATCATGCTAGCAACATGCTAATAGCATGCTAATCATGCTAGTAACTTGCTAATCATGGTAACAAAATGCTAACAACATGCTAGTAACAGGCTAATCATGCTAAAAACATGATAGTAACATGCTAGTAACTTGTTAATAATGTTAACAACATGCTACCGACATGCTAGTAACTTGCTAATCATGCTAGCAACTTGCTAGTAGCATGCTAATCATGCTAGCAACATGCTAATAACATGTTAATCTTGCTAGTAACTTGCTAATCATGTTAACAACATGCTAGCAACATGCTAGTAACAGGCTAATCATGCTAGAAACAAGCAAGTAGCATGCTAGTAATTTGTTAATCATGTTAGCAACATGTTAGTTACTTGCTAGTCCTGCTTGCAACATGCTAGTTACTTGTTAATCATGCTAGCAACATGCTAGTAACTTGCAAATCATGCTAGCGACATGCAGGTTACTTGTTAATAATGATAACAACATGCTAGTTACTTGCTAATCATGCTAGCAATATGCTAATAATGCCAGCAATATGCTAGTAACAGGCCAATCATGTTAAAACATGGTAAACATGCTAGAAACATGTTATCAGCATCTATCTATCTATCTATCATCTATCTGTCTCTGTCTGTCTGTCTGTCTGTCTGTCTGTCTATCTATCCTAGCGACATGCTAATCATGTTAGAAACATATGCTGCGTTCACGCCATATCGTAATTACCGTAATTTCGAGACAGAGTAACTTGCTAATTATGCTAGAAACATGCTAGTCACTTGCTAATCATGTTGGCAACATGCTAGTAGCATGATAATCATGCTAGCCCTGTTGATATTGTTGAAGTGTGTAGTGTTTCGCAATAAGTGTGTTACAGAATTGCAAACAAAGTGCAAAGTTGACAATGTGTTTAAGCTATGGTTACACTGTGTTTAAGGTATGCTACAAGAAGTTTAGGAATTGAGGCTTTGGTCTAAGCATTCGGTTTTAGTGTGTAAGCAATGGGCAAAAACTGTAATAATGTTAGCAACATGCTACCGACATGCTAGTAACTTGCTAATCATGCTAGCAACATGCTAGTAGCATGCTGATAATGCTAACAACATGCTAATAACATGCTAATCATGCTAGTAACTTGCTAATCATGTTAACAAAATGCTAGCAACATGTTAGTAACAGGCTAATCATGCTAGAAACATGCAAGTGACATGCTAGTAACTTGTTAATCATGCTAGCAACAGGCTAATTACTTGCTAATCATGCTAGTAACATGCTAATCATGCTAGTGACATGCTAGTAACATTTTCTAACCATGCTAGCGACATGCTAGTCACTTGCTAGTCCTGCTAGCAACATGCTAGTTACTTGTTAATCATGCTAGCAACATGCTAGTAACTTGCTAATCATGCTAGCGACATGCAAGTTACTTGTTAATCATGCTAACAACATGCTAGTTACTTGCTAATCATGCTAGCAATATGCTAATCATGTTAAAACATGCTAAACATGCTAGAAACATGTTATCAGCATCTATCTAATCTATCTAAATTTTCAAACTTCAGGCTTTTACAACTACTTTAAACTTTCAGGCTAGGCTTTCTCAAGCCAACCTAAAGTTTCTCTTGACAAACTTTTTTATCTATTTACATTTCAATAAGAGATTATGGAGACAAACCTTTTAAAAACACATACTGATGGTTTGTAGGGAAAGTTACGTATTAATTATTTAAAAAATAAGCACTGTGACATATCCTGTTGGCCATATTCATTGTGGGGTCATAAATGTACATTTTAGAAACTATTTGTGGCATTGCCTGGTAATCATTATTATCCTACACTGAACAGAGATGATTTTTCAAAGTTTTAAAGAAAATATTATTTCAGTCTTTCTATTTCAGCAATTTCATATTTAGTTTCATGGAATAATTTCTAAAATTATTTCTAATTTTCTAAATTATGTTTGAATGGTGTTTCTAATGTAATAACATTATATAATACGTTTCACCTATGTTTACACTAGTTTTGAAAACTGCTTTCTGTGCTATAGCGCCACCAATCTCGCTCTTTTGTGCAACAGCAAATTGATCTAAAGTTCAAATCAGTCCCACTTTATATTAAGTGACCTTAACTACTACGTACTTACATTAAAAAAATAAGTACAATGTACTTATTGTGTTCATTTTGTATTGCAAAGCACTTCTACTGCTATTGAGGTGGGATACAGGTAAGGTTGGGGACAGGTTTGGTGGTATGGGTAGGTTTAAGAGTGGGTTAAGATGTAAAGGATGGGTCAACAGTGTAATTATAAATGTAATTACAGATGCAATTATATGCATGAATTTTTTTAAATACAAGTACAATGTGCATTGTACCAAATGATTAATTTAAATGTAAGTACATAGTAGTTAAGGCCACTTAATATATAGTGGGACCATATTTGACATGCTGGTGGAAAAAAAAATAATCTCGCTTTGTTGCACGGCGATTGATTGCTCCCGGTGTGAATGGCTCCATAGGGATCTATAGTTTTTATGCAAGAACGTCATTGCGTTGTACATTCACATCACTAAACCACGCTCAGTGTGAAAGGCCCTGGAGTGCCTAAAACACAAGCTACAGCCATCATACACACGTGATGCATATCAAAACAGAGGGGAAAAATGAATACAGCTTTGATTTCAGAATTCACACTGGCGTTAAATATTATTTTGCCTCTGTTTTGATATGCATTACCTGTGTGTGATTGTGGTGTTATCCGGCCGCTCTGACCCCTCTGTGCTCTGTGTGAAGACATATTGCATGTGTCGCCCTCTTGACTCTCCACACTCACTCTGCTGCTCTCGGCCACTCGTTCTCACATCTGCTATAATTAGTGCTCTCCCACTCACTGCTGGGCACTGCATGCTATGGCAACAGCCGCAATTATGCCGAGTGTGTGTGTGTGTGTGTGTGTGTGTGTGTGCGCGCACTCTTGTTTGTGTAGGTGTCCTTGTCAAAACCTCCATCGACAGTGTCAGCCCTCGTATCATACCTCACACAGGGTTGGTGGGAGTTCTGACGAGGCACAATTCATGAACAGCAATTAAGCAGCGGCGCAAGAGAGATGTGAGTGAAGTGTAATGAGTGGAAGCAGTGAGGTGAGACTCCTATCCACACGGACTAATGAATGCCTCCACGCACACATGAAACTAACTGCAGAACACATCAAAAGTGTCACTGTCGTCAGGACAAATCAAGGTTTAATTGATTTTGCAGGAGTTCCCTGAATCCGTGACTGTCTGAGCCATTACAGGATTCAGCCAACCTTCTCACCTACATGTGATAAAGAGTACATGATCGTTTCTGTACCTTTTCAATGACATTACAGTACTTTTTTTTTACTATGTATGCAAAAAAAAAAAAGTTAATTTTTTTTTCAAAAATATGCTTTTTATACACTACCATTCAAAAGTTTGGGATCAGTAAGATTTGTAATGTTTTTTTTTTTTTTTTAATGAAGTTTCTTATGCTCATCAAGACTGTATTCATTTGATCAAAAATACAGAAAAAAATGTAATTTTCTGAAATATTATTGCAATTTAAAATAATAGTTTTTATTTTAATATACTTTAAAATATAATTTGTTCCTGTAAAGCAAAGCTGTATTTTCTCCTGTCTTCTGTCACATGATCCTTCAGAAATCATTCTAATATACTGATTTATAA